ACTGACACCAGGATTCTGTGGGGATGGAAGAGAAGAAAGGGGGATCTCAGGCATCATTTTCCTCCTTTATCTCCAGAGACCAAAGCAGAGGTTCAGTGGGAGTACACTAGAGACTCAAACCTGAGTCTCTTCACTGCTTCCTTCAGCAACAAATCTCTGTTCGCTGCACAGCTAGCAGTGCAATTAGCTGATGCTGCCTGTTTCCAACATGCCTTAAGCTCTGAGAACAAGAGCACACTGGCTATGAAGCAGGGAAGTTAGTGTTAACTACAGGAATCCCTGAGCAGCCAAACACAATCCCCTGTCAGGTCTCCCTAAATGATGAAAAAAAAAAAGCATGCTTGACATTCCTCTCTCTCCTCTCGCATCCTGACTCTGTCTTTTTCAGTACCAGTGACAAAGATGGGGTCAGACTCTCATTGACGTCACTCCTTGATGTCTAAGTATGCCAGTTTCCAATCTAAACATGTCCGGTTGTCTTCTCTTTTGTCCCATCAAAAATATAGCCATTTCACTTTGCACCCTGACCAGCTCAGAGCATTCCTTTGGTGAGTCCGGATTTGCAGCATTTACCTTTAGTTTTGGGTGGTTTTGACTTTGCATTGTTTCATTGTTTTTTCTGCAAATCTATGATAATGTAAAAATAAAAACAACTATTTGTCCAGTAAGGTTGGTAGAGGTGACATCATAGAGCAGGAGAAAGTTGGTACAATAATTATAGCGCAAATAAGACTAAGATAAAGGAAAGCCAAACGCTAAATTAATAAACAGTTGAAAAATTGTATAAATTGCAATACATTGTATCACAATACTCACTATCTTGCGAAATGTTATAAATCGTGATAATATCGTATTGTATCATGGCCCAAGTATAGCTATAACATTTGATCATGGCCCAAGTATCGTGATAATATTGTATCATGGCACAAGTATCGTGATAATATTGTATTGTGGCCCAAGTATCGTGATAATATTGTATCATGGCACAAGTATCGTGATAATATTGTATTGTGGCCCAAGTATCGTGATAATATTGTATCATGGCACAAGTATCGTGATAATATTGTATCATGGCACAAGTATCGTGATAATATTGTATCATGGCCCAAGTATCGCGATAATATTGTATCATGGTCCAAGTATCATGATAATATTGTATCATGGCCCAAGTATCGTGATAATATTGTATCATGGCCCAAGTATCATGATAATATTGTATCATGGCCCAAGTATCATAATAATATTGTATCGTGGCCCGAGTATCGCTATAATATCATATTGTGGCCCAAGTATCGTGATAATATCGTATCGTGCAGCTCATTGTTGCAGAGCATTTGCTTTTATAATCCATCATATAAAAGTTACTTTAGGTTGGAGTGAAAAATCAAAATTAAAATCAGAAATCCAAGCAAATCCCATGATACATCTGCAGACTTTGTTAGACTGTATGAGTCAGCACATTTAAACGAGTGACAGTAAAACTCTCGGATCAATCTTCAGCGATCAATAGATTACATTTCAGGATGACGGAAAAAGAGAGAAAGAGATTGTTTGCTGTTAGAGAGTGAATTATCTAAAGAGGAAATCAATGGTTTATTGAGTGGGTTTTATTTGTTATGGTCCTCTAATCTGGAGAGCTATTTCTGGGGATGTGCTGGTGACTCAGCCCGCTAATGTGCATGCTAATGAACTGATGTGTGAACAAAAAAAAGGAAAAAAGAGAGTGGTATGCATTTCTGTCTGCTGCACGCACTTTTGCTTTCCATGTTGCAAAGTGAAAAATCAATCAAAATGTTTCTTGAATGCAGGCCACAGAGCTGCAAAACAGGTCAGATTTTGCACACAGCCATATTTACACAGTGCTTGTATGCACAGATTGTGTGTGTATGCAGTTTATTTGTGTTCCCCTTAACTGTCAGCAGATCTCAATCATCAGCAGTTACTCTACTGTCGCAAGCACTGACAACAGGAAGTGTTTGTTTGTTTAAAGGAGGATCTCATGACACAGTATCTGAGTTAACAGCATCAAGGCCCAACAACTGTCTTATATACCCCTGAAATACCTGCTCTGTATGCTGCTACTTTCACTGTTAGTCATTTTCCACTTTCCTTACCTCCCCCGTCTACCTCAGACTATCACGCTCTCTGCCCTCTTCCCATCATAACTCCATCCACTTTTCCATCTCGCATACAGAGGGTCACGTGACTGAAATCTGGAGGAGAGGCTAGAGGTCGGCACGAGGTCCAGCTAATTTGCTGCAGATGAAAACTGAAAACATGCTCATACTGTATATCTCCACACATGCACAGGGGAATTAGAGTATACAACGCATTACCCACACAACGCAAATCTACAGGAAGTCTATTTATAACTCTTACACTCCACAAATACGCACTCAGACAGAAAAGCATGAAGGACAGTGGCCTGTATTGTACCTTCCCAGTACAGTCAATCCATTTTCCTCCCATCTAATTCTCCATATCATCTCCATCTCCCCCTGAACTTCCCCTTGTCATTACCAGCTGCAGGGAGATATGAAGTTTCTGGCAATAACCAGCCACAGATGTGAGGAGTTTTGAATGGTGACGGCACTCATATGTGTAAGCAATGGGCTACTGGCTGAGTCTAGCTCTGATTTCCATCTTCTTGCAGAAGCTCTCAGACAGGGTGAAAAACACCCACTGGATTCCTGATTGGAGAGTCAGTAATGAGATTGCGGTGATGATGGCTTTTTGCTGGTGAAGGTTATCCAGTCATCTGCTGCTTGTTATGTATGAGCATGCGTGTTTGTCACAATGAAGGATGGACAGCAGAAAGAAAGAGTCAGACAGAGCATGTGGTTGTGTTGCATGCATATGTAGGTAGAGGAAGGTAGAAGAACAAGAGAAGGAAAAAAACAGAGAGGAATGGAGATTTATGCTGCGCTCCAGTGAAAGTATCTGACTCATGCCTGATTGTTTATTATTGCAAATGACTATGTGGTCCTGTCAGGAAGCCGCAAGAGTATTACTCACTGAACCAGAGAGAATATAGACATAGAGCCTGCCCTCTTCTGCATATTTATCCATCTTTTTCCCTGTGGGCTGTTGTGCGCACATGGTGTGAGTTTAAAGAAACTACCGGGAATCCCCACGATGCTGTAACTCACGATTTGCACTGTGATAACTATAATGTGTTTTCTCTTTAACAGACCCCCCCTTATTTAACATGCTACAGCTAACCGAGTGTCACATCTCCTATCTCATGCTGTCATCGCTGGAAATAGAGATGACACTCAGGAGAAGAGCTTGGATATCTTGCCCACATCCAACCCTTCACCAGCTACTTCACTTCTTATCTGAGACAGGGGGAGGTGAGGAAAAGGAGCATAAACAAACCCACATGCTCCTCCCCCCATTTCTTACATCCCTGCTGAGTCTCAAACAAGTGCCAGCCAATATCTGTTTCACTCTGCACAGTGTGTGTGGAAAAGAGATACAGTGATTAAGTGGGATGCTGCTGTGTGATGGACACAGAAAAAGGGCAGGAAAATAACAGCATATTTCTGTCATTTTTGAGACACAGACTGCACCCTTGCCTGTAAAGCATTTGCTATTGCATTATTACTGTATAACTTTATTTTAAAATTCCCTTTAAAAAATTGCTTTTTTTAGTTTATTGCAATTCAGTGTCTTTAAAGAGACATATTATAAGAGATAAGGACTGGGCGATTATATGATCGTGATAAATTTCGGTTCGATCAGCTGTGAGCATATTTACTCGATCAAACATAGAGGAAATGTGCGTGACAACAGCCAATCAGAGTCGAGCTTTTCCTGCTCACTTCTGTAAGTTACCAGAGAAATAAACAGGAAGTAAACAGAATGACCGAACGTGGAGCTGAGGGCAGCAAAATAGATTTCGGCCATGACTTTGAGTCTCCCATCTAAGATGTTATTGTTGAGAAGTTGTTAAATGTCGGTTGTGTGGCGGTGGTTCGGGTATCTCCTAAGTGACGTCGAGCAAATAAGCCAATGTGTGAGGTATGTCGGCGGTCAGTGCCCTCAAAAACTGGCAACACAACAGATCTGTTTAATCATTTGAAGTTCTTCCTGAGTGATTATGAGGAAATCATGAAAATGTGGGCGGAGTCTGTACAGCCTGTCACTGCTGACGGCACAAGTAGCATTAGCAGTTTAGCTACAACTAGCAGTGCAGCCACTAAACCAAAGCAGCGATCAATCGTATCATCTACGTTTAAATCATCTAATGTTTACATTTTAAGGCGTCTTTATTATCTCTGAGGGGGTGATTTGTTTATTTTGGGTGTTGCAAACCTGCAAAAACACTCAGGACTGTAAACTAGTTCACTGTATTATTTAGTATTTATTTACTTTTGTTGTACTGTTGAGTTAAAATGTTTTTTATATTTTTCTAACTTTATCTCATTCAATTTGCTTTGTTATTTACTTTGTATGTTAATAAAATGTTGAACTAATCTCTCGTTTCTTTAGTTTTTAGTACAGATACTTTAAAACTGGCAGTAAAAAAAAAAATCGGGATAATAATCGAGATTGGACGATATGACAAAATATATCGTGATCCTCATTTTTGCCAAATCGCCCAGGCCTATAAGAGATATACATAAAATGTATGCAGGTTCTGAAAAATAAGGACATATAGCTGCAACAAAGATATGTGAAGAAAGGCAAAGACCAACATCTGTACTCAGCACTATGGAATCTTTATGAAGAGGTTTTGCCAATTAAGAACACATGCTCATGATATCAGTCCAGGGACTAAAAGTAATGATTACACACTTACAGCACTGTCACTGCAGTATTTTACTGTAATCATGCATTTAAATTACACTTCACCAAAATCCAAGAAAGCAGAGTAAAGATACATTTGAGGTACAGGAGATAAAGAAGGGGCGAGGGAGGGAGGGAGAGATAAAGTCGTACACACGCGCAGAGAGGGAGAGGAGAGGGAGGGAGAGAGGAGAAGTACTTAGAGAGGAGACGCATCCTCCGCGCAGTGGTGGAAGGAACATCTCCTGCATCGCAGTCCGGCACAACAGAGAAGAGTGAATCCAGTTCGACCGTAAACTAACGACAGAGACGCTGACATGTGGATTTACACTATTCTTCTCCCTCTTTTCGTCGTTTCTTGTTCTGGTAAGTTTGACTGTAATTATTTGTACAGCTGCTCGGGTTGCATGCGCGCCGGAGCTGCTTCTGAACGCAAAACAAGGCTGTCAAACGGACTGAAGAGAGGCTTTATTAATGTCACTTTTTCACATTGTCTCGTGTGGTGTTACTACCGTATCTGTAAAGCAGCAGACTTTATGACCAGCGGGACAGTGCGGTTATCCTCTTACAAATGACCATGCTATCACTTTAAAAAGATGGTGTTAAAGGGATTTCTGCCTGTCTTATATTGGTCATTCTTGAAAGAAATAGTCATCTTATGAGGCTTTAGACAATGCATACGATTGATGTGATTATCGATCCAGCAGGTATACTTTTTCTAATCTCAGTTGTTCTTACTACTGCATTTCTGTCCGTGCCAAAGCGCATTACGCTGCAGAGGCACGTATCCAGTCACGTAAGCCTTTCCCAACTGATCAAGAGATGAACAAATAGATCTATAAAGTTAATGGACACAGCTCATTGTCTCGCAATGTGACCCTCGTTAATCCCTATTGAAAGTTCAGCCATCCTGTGGTCCTTACAGCACGGGATTTTGCGCCTCATTGCGCCTACAGGCGCTCAAGCAGGGAAACTGCCCAGCTGGTCAACTCAAGTTGAGGATCGGACACCTCTGCTCCTCTGAGATCACCCCTCCACTGAAATGCTGGATATAAACTAGCAGGTCTGGTGGTGGTAATATGATCTGGTGGTCGTTGATTTTTTTTGGAAATGATTCCTAGAAACGACACCTTTCCAGGAACCCCTCTATCAGCATCAGCATGCGGTGGAGTTTTTCAGAGTTGATAAAAGCTCTTGAATCGGCTTGAGTGCATAAAGGCTGAGTTTACAAAGTAAGTAGGAGGAGGATAAATGAGGAGGAGGAGGAGGAGGCCTGAGTTTACTGCCTAAATGTAAATGTCTAACTGGCTCTGTTTCTGCAGAGATGCAGATGACCGATTCAAACTAACACTCAGAGGAGCACTGATTACCCTCTATGTGTGTGTGTGTGTGTGTGTGTGTGTGTGTGTGTGTGTGTGTGTGTGTGTGTGCCTGGGTTCCACTGGGTGCACTGATGAATGACTGTGCATCCCATTAGGTGCTGTAGATTAATGACAGTTTAAGGGGACTAATTCACACATTGTAATGCTGTTCCTGGGTGTTCTCAGTCTAGCTGTGCTCATTAACAGGATAAGTCGACTGCTTTCCAAGTCACAGGCAAGAGTTTTGGTACATTTTTACTCCTATGAGTCATAATAGTAATCGCACTTGAGTTATAGCTTGCAAAAAAAAAAGAAGCAATTTATCTCCCTTTAAAATGTCTAATGTGTTTAATGGCTGTGTGATTTGATGGTGTTTCAGAGGGCAGGAGAAATGCCCTTCAGGACTACCAGAAGACCGATGCCACACGACTGGACTCAGTGACCCTTGATTCCTCCCACTTGACCAAAAGCAGGAAGCTGAGCATGGCAAAGTGCGCCAAAGCCTGCAGCCGCAACAAGAGACTCCCCTTCATCTGCAGGTAAGTCTGCAAGCTACACGGTTCGTCTCCTGCACTAAAGACAGTCAGTGTTCAGAGGATTCATGGTTTGTTGTCCGTCTGGTTCAGCTGGCTGCTTAACTGCTTTGCATGCCTGTGAGTGTTTCAGCGAAAGACATCAAAAGCTAACTGATCTTTATGTATTTCACTTTCCCTCTAATCTATCATCCTTCTTTTTTCTCCAGAGCATTCCTGTATGATCATAAAAACAGGAAATGCCAGTGGCTGTCGTTTGACAGGAACTCACCGGGAGCTCAGATCCAGCAAGACTTCAACTTTCAGCTCTATCAAAAGAAAGGTGTCCTTCATAGTTCCACCTTGTTTTCTCCGCTCACACATACTCGAGTGTTGTCCTCTCATGTCTGACAAATATCCTCACACAGTCTTTCAGTCAGCAGGTTGGCTTTAGCAAACTACTTGTTTGTTTTAAAGGATGTAGACAGATTTCATGTCTGTATAAACGCCTGCTCTCGGTCTGATTGAAGCCTTTTAATGACAGCTTCCCCCAACAGGAAGACAAGGAAGGGCAAGGACATTTGTCGTGTTTATTGCGTCGCCCCACATTACAGCCCATTTTCTGTCATTACGTGGTGTTTGTTTAAACGCTGTAAACCCCCACCCCTCTCCACTCCGAATGACCACAACAGCGAACATGCGAGCTGTACAGTCTCTCTTTTACTGGATCCAAATGTTCAGCCGAAGATTAAGAAAACAGATTTTTCTTTTGGCATTGTCTCGTCCTTGTTAAGCTCAGCATCGAGGCTGAACATCTTTGTCTCTGTTTTCTTCATCATCCCTGTCTTGGCTTAGTGTAGACAACATTTCACGCAGGTTGTTTTGCTCATCCCCCTCACTCTTTTTTACTGACAATTTGTCTCCCCTCAACCTCAATTTTTCAGACTATGTTCGGGAGTGCATAGTGGGTACAGGTCAGAGCTACAGGGGGCGGAGGTCGGTGACAGTGAGCGGGATCCTGTGCCAGGCGTGGGCCTCTCCTTTCCCTCACGAGCACAAGTAAGAACTTGATGTGCATTTTACCACATGTCAAACAAAGTCGTGTTAAAAGCTGCTTTTTATCGTAGGCTCTCGCTGGTTTGTGATACAATTAGCAAGTAGCTAGGGGCTAGCATCTATGATTATTATATATTAGGGGTTGATTAGGCTCTGGGGAGCAGTCATTCATCAGAACTGACCTCATTGCAGAGTCACAGACCATTCCCCGCTGCAGCCCTACTGTTTATCTTGGTGCCTGTGTTGGTCTCTGTGTGTGTTTTGCTGGGATTATGATCTTATTTAATATGCAGCCTATGGTTAAGCTGTAGGTATCCCACATGTAAAAGCCCAGATAGAGCTCTTACCTAAATATGCAGGAATCCTGTCTGATACTGTTTAGCTCCCAGTAGAAGAAAATGAACCAATTAAAAGGTTTAAAAACAAAAGACTGAAGGGAAGCGCTGCTTTCTGTTGGATAACAAAAGTTGGATTAGCAATAATCTTAAGTAAATGCCCTTTAAGCTACAAAATAAATGCATGTATCCCTCACTAGAACATCTAAAAAAATCTATTCAGACATTTTGTTTGGCTTAATGTGAAAGAAAACACAACATATGCCAGCTTAATAACTATTTTTAAAGTAATTAACACACTGTATTATCTTTTTCCATCATCTCCTTGAAAAATAGTACCCAAGGTGCTATTTTAGAAGATGCTGATTGAAAGGACACTTAAGAGAAACTGCAGCTTATCATGTCCCAGCTTTCACCAACCTTAGACCTGACACACACACCTCATCATAGACCTTTATACTCTTAGAGGCACTACTTCTTCCAACACTCCCCTTTCCTCAGAGGTATTAAATGACTCTGAGAGGCTTTGTAGTTTGAAGTCCCTTCAGCAGACAAATCAAGCAAGGCCGTGTACATTTGTACCTCCAGTGAACCTTCTTTATCAGCCGCTATTAGCATCTCTGTAGATCAGGTAATTAAACCCAGGCTCTTTGTGTGTTTTATCAGTCACTGTACAGGCATGGGAAACTCTCTCTCTCACACACATCCCTGCATACACACCAGAACAAATTGCGTTTTTATCAGTGAAAGGTTTCTCCTCTTTTCTCTACCTGTCATTAGCCACTCCACTGAACATCTACCTCAGAACTTTATCTTTTCATCATCATGGGGATAAACATAGTTCGACTAAATCATCACCGCTGCGGACTACGGCCATGTGCTCGCCTGATGTAGAAGATATGAGTCAGTGTTTACACCACATTCAGAACCTGCCTCATGGAAAACTAACATTGCTTCAACTTATTAACCCGGTTTCTTCAACTGAACAACATGTCATGTCTGGTTTGATGTACGAGATTTGCCATTAATTTCTTAAAGACTTGTTACTTGTCTCTGGTCATGTCAGCAGGCAGGTTTTAGCCATCAGCGAACAGCAGCAGCTCTCACAAAATGCGTAGGTGATTCGTCACTCTGCCAGAGATAAAAGACAACACAAACTGTGGCCTTGGGTGTTTTTCAAAAGGAGGTTTCTCTGCATGCTAGCTGAAGTACTTGGCAAGCGGTCCTGGTACATGTGTCTGTTTGTGTAACTGCTGCTCTGCTTCTGACAGATTCACGTCCAAGAGATTCAGAAAGAAGGACCTCAGAGAGAACTACTGTCGCAACCCGGACAACTCCACCGTCGGCCCCTGGTGCTTCACCACTGATCCCAGGCCACACCTCAGACACCAGGAGTGTGGCATACCACAGTGTTCGGAGGGTAGGCGACATACACACGTAAAAGCATGCAAATGCATCTACATCCATCTGAGAGACCGTTTATCTAAAAATAATGCCCGTTTCAAATTGCAAATTGCCTCTCCAATCGAGGCTTGATAGTCTGAAATGAGCTGCAGCAAATTACACAATCACATGGTGCTTTGGATGAAGCAACCTGGCTCTAACTGTGCTCTGGTCTACATCTGTGTGTGTGTGTGTGTGAGGTACAGATTTTCTTTATTTGCAGAGGCCAGCTGCAGCTGTTTCCAGGTGTGTGGTTCAGTTTAAGCTGTCCTCTCTCATTCCATCAGGTTCAGGGTTTGTAAGTGGTTTGAACCTAAAGAGACTGGAGCCAGAAAGCTGAAGGATATTTATCCCCTGTCGTCTCGTATAGATAAACTGTTAGCTGTTTCATTTATGCTCGTGGCACACAGAGAAGGAAACAGTTGAGTTATGGTTCTGTTCAAGTAAAACTTAGATATTTACTTTCCCAGGGGTGTTTCTGCCGTGTTGTTACATCCCACTCGCATGACTGTCAGGGACTGATGTCTCCCTGAAAAAGGGGGCGATAAGGACCCCTGTTATCTAATCCCAGAGGATCCGTGCTGTCAGAAGGGCTGTTTCCTCTGCATGTTTGACAGTGCATCATGCTAATGAGGAACCGGACGGTGGTTGGATAAGACAGGATGGAAAGTCGACTTGTCCTCAGGCTCCTGCATGTGTTTTTTACCAGGTTATCACAAGTTGTGACACAGGCAGTGACTTTTTATTATGATAGAAAGTCGATGAGAATTAAATACCCTGAGGCATTTCTCCAGAAATTAGTCAGCCCTAAAAGAAAACACACACAGACACGCAAACATGGCGTGGGCAAACACACAAGTGCAAGAAGCCAGTGGTATTAAATGTGCTTTGTCATGACGGCAGCGGACTCACAAACATCTGGTTTTAATCCACATGCTCTCTGTTGTTTACACTAGACCCTGTGTACTACTCACCTCGCAACAAATGGTGCCCTTTCCACATCAAAGAGATCCATGGCTTCATTAGTGCGGCAAATTATCTGTCCTGCCATACATTTAAGTGTATTATTTTCTGTCTGAGCTTTAGGGGGTTCCTTCAAGTCTTTACGAAGGCCTTTATTATGACATGTTACATGATGGTTTGATGGAGGAACAACAGGACCTTAAATGTACATAAGTTGCGGGCTTGTGCAAAGCTTGTCACTCACCATACTAATGAGACGGTTGTGGTTTATTTTCATTTTCTTCTCAACCATAATGTTAAATAACAGTTTAAAAATACCTTTAATTCATGTTGATTTTGGCCGCTGTAGAAAACACAGTACTACTTCAGGCTTTTCGAATAATTTCCCGTTCATGCAAAGTAATATCCACCAGGAAAAACACTCTCCTGCGTCTCTCAGGCCTCATGCCATGAAAGACCTGCCTCACTTGAAGGTTTTAAAAGTTTGACAGACGTTAAAAATGGGGAAGACCACGCACATGGTGACAAATAATGACCGATTTTATAGTTTTGTTCAAATAGTGTGTGGAGAGCAACAGGTTAGCCAACACAGCACAGCTCACACTAACAGATCATGTTTACCGAAAAACCAAATCAGTTTTAGAATAGAGTGCTGCTGCTCATCCCTAATGGGCCGCTCACATCAAGCACAAGTAAAATCAACTACTCACTTAATTTGCGCAAATCTAGACGCATGAATGAATAGTATTTACCTGCTTCATTTGTGTGTCAATGGTAATTTCAACGGGAGAATCAAGTGATAGACAAATGTTTTTAACAATTTACCTGGTAATTCGACTCCTCACTCAATTGCCTCGCAGTGAGCTCCTTTTTATTTCCAGTTTCGGTAATTGAAAGAAAAGATATCATATAATTCGGGGCATCCACACACTGACACGATAAGTTTGTCCTCCATTTTAGAATAAGAATAAGAACTTTATTAATTGAAATTCAATTACACTAGTGCGTGTAAGAGGGACTTCCTTTTAGATACCAGTGAGCAACCATACGGTTTCATATGTCACCCAGCAACCTTCATGCTGATTAGCTATCGTGACGCGAATATCTGCTCAAGTTGAGACATTTTCAGCTCCGTCCAATTTGCATCATTCATGCCGCCAGAGTAGTAGGAGCGTCTAATTGGGTCTTTGCATCAACTTTGCACAAAGTCTTTTACTCGCACTTGGTGTGTGGAGAGAGACAGTAACAGGAGTCTTAACTTTTGCCGTCTTTACCTGCAGTATAAAGTATAGTGTTATATTGTGTAAAAGACAATACATGTACATTTAATTTTAACTTTCTGTGACTGAGCTTGAGACACAATAAACGTAATTTTAAACATCTTCAGAAATCATATATGGATGTGTAAGTAAGTCTGTTGGCCTTTTTTCACAAAGTTTATGATATAATGTGCAGCTCCATCTGTTCCCTCTCCTTCGCTTGTGTTTCTCGACCTCTCCATGATGCAGTTTTCAGATGGAAGGGGGCAGAACAGTTAAGTAAAAGTAGGAGAGAGATTTGATGTGAAAGCAGAACACAGACTTAGAGATCCAAAATAATAGTATAACTGTATAATTCAAAAAGTCAATTGTTTATACTGTAGAATACACTGCCATGATATTATATAAATTCCTGTATTTCTTTATATTGCAATATCTACTGCAGCAAAGGAAGAATCAGGCAAGCCTTAGTCCAAAGTTCAATTCTGAAAACTGCCACACTCCATGACCAACCAATCAAAACTGAGAAGGGGTGAAACCTCTTATGTCAACTTTGTCGACTATAGCAGAGGTCCAGAAGAAACAAACAACTCTCGTCTTTAATTTGAAGGTCCAGATTACTTGAATCAATAAAAATATGAACAATAAAGCTTTCTCAAACATCAAATCATCAGCCCTGTCTGTTATAACCTAGCAAGTGTCCATCAAATAGAAGCACTCTGAACTTGAGGTTGTGGGAGCGGTCAGCCTAAAGAACTGTTAGTGGATACAGGCTATCACACTGCCGTATAGAAAACTCTCCAGGGAAATAAAGACTCTTTAATCATACAAGCTTTAAACTGCTGCCCTGATGACAAAGCTGACAGGCTTTAAAAATACCTTTATCCAGCAGTTGGTCTGGCTTGCTCTCATAGGTCATCCAGAGCCACTGAATGTTTCTCAGAATCAGTTAAAAGTTCTGCCAGCATGTTTGAGTGATGAAAGCAATGTGTCAGTAACACAGTGAAGTCAGGAAAATGAATTTTTTTGGTTGATTTTGTGTTTCTCTAAGATGTTGCTTTGTTTGTGTGTGTGTGTGTGTGTGTGTGTGTGTGTTATTGCTGTGTAGTTGAGTGCATGACCTGTAATGGGGAAGATTATAGAGGACCGATGGACCACACAGAAAGTGGAAAAGAATGCCAGCGCTGGGACCTGGATGGACCACACAAACACCTGTACCACCCCAAGAGGTATAATACACAAACACACACACACATGCTTACACACTCACATGCATCTGTGTCTCACTCCATGCTGCATGCTAAATCACTTTAAAGGCCACACATTGAGATATATCTACTTAAACAGCAAAGACGACTTACTGTAATAGCAAGTTGTCCAAGTAAGGCTGTGGTGCTCTTACTCAGCAGATAAAGCGAGCTGGAGTCTTCCCCCTGAAGGGATGCCACCACAGTCCACAATGTAATTGTGTGTTTTTAGCAGTTGCAGCAGGCCAGCGCTTTGCTGGGAAAACTCCTCAATCCAACTTAATTGGGCCAAATTCCTTTAAGCTCACTGAGAATTAGAAAGCAGACTAGAATCCCGCCATGCTTTAAGCTTATGCGCATTTAAGGATAGCTATATATATATGAACCTGCTTTAGTATTCTTTTACATGATCTCTATGTGTGTGTGCAATGTCAAAAGATTGCTGCAGCCACTCATCTGACAGGTGGTCTGGATTAGTGGGGAATCGTTAACACATTCTTAATCATCCTAGTGTTTGTGTGAACGAGGTCCCAGACTGCTCATAGCACTAATGTAATGAGAGGGTCCCACAGCCTGATGCTGCACGCCCCGGGGCAGGGGGCCTGGAGGGATGTGGGATTTTTGGGTTGACTTACAGTAGAACACCTGTAGTTGTGCTGCCTATTATCTCCCTCTCTCCCCGAGCTCTGAGCAAATTCACAGATGGGGTCCTTGTTGCACCATTCCAGTTGTTAATGCTTCTGTTGCATGCAATGGTGAATTATCCCCACATTCGGCACCGTCCTCCTAAGGATTCAGATGAAAAATGGAGAGAAAATTCTCTTCTGATGACCGAATCAATAATGAGACTTTTGAGTATTTTCTGTCACTTTTACTTATCTTCACACTGGGGTTATTTCATGGACTGCACCACAGTGTTATACTATCTCTGTGCTGTTTTTTGGCTCATATTTAACTCCTAAAATTGCTCTACTGCGTGTTTCACATCAGGTATCCGGATAAAGGCCTGGATGACAACTATTGTAGGAATCCAGATGGACGCCACAGACCCTGGTGCTTTACCACTGATCCCAACACACCTTGGGAGTACTGCGACATCAAAGTTTGTGGTAGGTGTGCACGTGTGTGTATTTGAAATGCATGTTAAGTAGAAATCTGTGTGTGTTTAAAAGTGGGTGTGTTTGTTTTTCGTTCTGGCAAATGAAGTGCAACCGACTGCATCACAATTTACAACTTCCTGCACCTTAAATTTACCACCCCTCTTCCAGTCATTGGCGAGACTATTGAATACACACATAGGCACGCACACCAACACAGAGAGTCCCCCCCCTTGAGTTCGGCTCTCTGTTATGTCGTCTCTAATAGCCAGAATGTTTATTTTCCCCCTACGCCGCTGGCCTGCTGTTTATTGTTTTATGCCAGCTCTTATGTGCGGGAGTTAAACTGCAGAGGGCTCAGGGACTGCTCCACATTAACCTCCTGTTACATGCACAGACACAACACCGGGGTCATACACACTACACACCACTGGCAGATTGCTTTCATTTCACCTCTTTTTAGGTGATTGATGTGTAAGCGCTCTGTGTATGTGCTTCCATACACTTGTAGTAAAGCAGCAGATACAGTACGCACTTAGCTGACCTATAATCAGTGATGAGTCACTACAACAGCCACTATGGTCCTGCAGGACATAAAACAGAGAGTTCACTGGTGTTATTGTTGGGCTTAGCTTCTCTCTCCTGAGTGGATGACTGGCCTGTCTGCCTGCTACAATCATCAGCAGTCTTGGCACAATGTTTACTAGATGGCACTCCTCCATGTGGACCCTGTGATTCACTGCACCCCCCCTGTTTTTTCCCCCCACTAAAAAACCGTCTCCCACCCCACGCTGTCTCCATCTCTCCCTTTCTCTCTTTCGGTCTCTGATATGGGAGTTTGTTGGGCACAGACCAAGTTTACGACCCAGTAAGTCTTAATCAAAACAAGGCACAGAGGGGAGAGAGAGGGAGACAAAGTGTTCTTTTGTCAAGACTGGCTGCGTTGTTTACTGTCACAACCAGTGCATGTCTATTTTTAGACATATTGTATTGGTAGAAAATGTCTGGTTTAGAGTGTTGACAGTATGCTGCTTAACACATACAGTAGTTGGAAACATTCATGCATGAGGTTCAGGCCAATGAACTCAAGTAATCTGCGCATAATGAGCATCCATTGTATCCAATATAACAGTGGAGCTGATCAAACTTTTGCCTTTTCCAGCTCATGTGTCGAGATGGTGGGAGTAGCAGCTTTCATGAAAATGCATAAACACGCCCTGCAGGTTTGAACAAACCGGAGTTTTCAAGTCAAATGATTCTGGGCATCAGTCCTGATCTGAGCGAATTGATTGTTACAGTTTGGACGGCTGAGTGATGACATTTTGGAGATAAAATCAAGCACTGTGATTTTTTTTTACTTCCAGAATGAGGACTTGTGCGTTATGTTTTTGAGTGGAAGCAATAACAGAGGAGTAATAGGCAAATAGAAGAATCTGCAGTGGGCCCATCAAGATTTTAGTGCAGTTCATCTGAAGTTTAATTTGAAGCTTTTACAAAGTTCACTAACTTTGAACCCTCTAAGTAGGTTCTTCACATCACTTCATCTATTTCCATGTTCCGAGCTCACCAGGGTCTGGATTTGAACATTAATCATGGGGTGGATTTTGGAGCATGCTTACTGGGACAATGGTACCGTGTACCACAAACTGTTTTCTGTGTCCTCATTATGATTTTATTCTTAAGGTCAAGGAAATGAGCCATTTAACAATAATAATCCTCATTAGCTAGTCCCTGCATAGCAGTTTTTCAATTGTCTCTGACACAAAATGGCTTCTGAGTGTATGATTTTCATTTATACTTAATGCCTCAGTCAGATTTTTTAGTGTTTTTTCAGGTGCTTCAAAGGGCACCGAGTGGGTGTGCTTGAGGGAAAAAAAAGCTGCATTTGCAAACAACAATGTGGAAATAAAACACTTGTTATTTTGCATGATAACAAAACAATTGTTCATGTTTATCCACAACACCAAGAGATCCTCGACTTAATTAGATTAGATTAAATACAACAAGGAAATAAAAAAGAATATAATAATTCTTGTCGAACTACGTGGCAACCTTAATCAAACTTAATACTGATCTGACACATTTCTAAAATATCGGATAAACACACTGCAGGCCAGCTCAGCTTGCGTCTCATATTCTCTCATCTCTTTTTGCTCTTTCATAGAAACGCCTCCCAAAAGGAATGTGGTGGAAACGACTGAGTGTTACCAAGGCAGAGGAGAGGGCTACAGGGGGACAGTAGATGTGTTGCCCACTGAACTGACGTGCCAACGCTGGGACTCCCAGTATCCCCATAACCACACATTCATACCCGAAGCCTACCCCTGCAAGTGAGTCACACTCCTGCTTAAAAACAGCCGTCCACACGTTCACCCACCTGCATGCACTTATACACTCGCAGATTACTGCATGACTTTCTCTGTGATTTCCAGAGACCTGAGAGAAAACTACTGCCGAAATCCAGATGGCCAAGACCTCCCCTGGTGCTTTACTACAGACCCGAGAGTCCGCACCATGTTTTGCACCAACATCCCTCAGTGTGGCGCCCCAAACAAGCCTGTCAGGGGTAAGGCACCCAACGGCTTTGTATGAAAACCAAAACAGTGAGGGAATGCAGATTTCCCCTCGTTGCCGTCTGAACCTCAGAATTATTGAACATTTTCATATTTTGTAGACAGCTGAATTCACATGAGACTGTGGCCGCGCACACACTGGCTTGTTGCTATGTTTACTTATCCCTATGGAGAACTATAGCCCAACAGGACTGTGGGAAGGACTGACCACTATGCCTTACAATAATGAACTCTGACAGCAGCTGAACGTCAGAGGCTGTCTGGTCTGACTGGACAGGGAAAGATGGGCTGGAAGGATTAGTTCTAGATGGGATTCTTTCTGGGGTAGCATGGGATTTGAAAGGGAAAGATGTAGATCCACAGCTTAGTACACAAATGTAAATTTCCCCAGGGGTATCTGAGGGAACGTCTTTGAAATTACATAGACTTGCATTCCTTGAGGATTGAAAATGTTCCCGTAGAGAAAGGTGATGATTCAAATTCTTGATGTAAAGCTGACTTCACCTATTTCTGTTAACCAATTATTACTGTGATGATGCAGGAAACATGATGTTTTTAGTATAATACTTCATATTTTATGTGTGGAGTACACTGAATTTGTGTCTTATTCCTTTTCTGTCCATATACAGACTGTTACGAAGGTTTTGGAGAGAATTACCAAGGAGAGCAGTCAAGGACAAGATCAAACCTGCCCTGCGCTCCCTGGAGAGACCACAGCAACAGGTCCGCCCACTGGATCTCTGCTACTTTCTGACCTAATAACTTTCCCAAACTGCACTGTGATAGACAAAACAGACCTGTGCCATCAATAAGCTGCAGAAAAGCACCCCTGTCTCAAAAAAAAAGAGATCAAGATGTCACACAACTCAACCACACGTAACTCTTCAGAGACAGTCTAACCTAGGGTAGAGACATTTAAGAGCTGAATAGGATCAAAGGACACCCCTGACAATGAGCTGAAAATATGCAAATTTCACGGGTCTCAACAGGAGAAAGATACTTTGAATGCTTGTACAGCCTTAAAACACAGGGGAGAATGTACTAAGAACCATGTGTGTAAACCTGAGACGTAGTGGTTAGTGTGCAGAGGTGACCCATCATTGACCTCAAGTTAAGTCTCATTGTCGTTAGCGGATCAAGTCAGGCCTCTCGTTTCTCAGAGGAGAAAACGGCTCCTGTGGGTGCTGTGACTCGCCTCTCCAGCATCTCCTAATGGCTGGAGAAGTGTTTCCTTGAAGATGACCTAACACAGCAAGAATGACTCCCAGTGATAGTTTGGCTGGGGGATATACACTTCACTCTTCACCTTTGACCCCCAAACTCCTCCTTTGTAAAGGAACACTTCAAAGCCAATCAGCTGCACCGCTTTGCTCCTGCTCAGGGGTCAAAAAAGTCAGGGTTAGGGAGTCACAGTGAGCGCTGGCTGTTTTGCTTGCTGTTCGGACTATAATCCAAAAACACAAATTTGAAAGACTTTATATCGCTGCGGTTTGGCACCTAGCATTCCTCTTCTGCATCTCCCTTTATTAAAGATTCTCCTCCTTGTAAGTCATGAATACAATGTGGGAAAGAATGTTATGTGTGGTTTACGATTCGTGTGAAAGTCTCCTCATGTGTGGGATATGTCTGCATGACTACATGTAAGCAATGTGAGTGTAGGTGGGTGCTTTGAGTCTCAGTGAGTAATTCTCCGCAGATCACCTTATCTTGTCCGCAGAGACTGAGCCTACACAGCTGTGCAGTTTGGATGGGTAGATCTTATCTGACAGAATTAGTTCAGCTTAATCGTTATAAAGTGCAGACAAATAGTTTTTCTTTTTTTTTTTCATAAGAAGCCAAGTCATTTCCTGTAAGAGGGGAAGGCCACATTTTCTCTGCAAATTGTATATTCTGCTGAGTGAATGTGGATGGCAGAATTAGTTACTGGATCTTTTGTGCTTGTGTGTACGTTCAGTGGCGAAAGGGGCATGTTGATGGCTGGCCTGGAGGGAAACTACTGCAGAAACCCTGATAAGGACAAACACGGCCCCTGGTGTTACTCCAACAATTCTGCTATTCCCTGGGACTACTGCAACATCAAACCATGTGAGTGCACACACAAAACCTCAGACAGTGCACACAATCATAAACAGAGGCACACAACCAGAGAGCACAATCTGTGTGACTGTGTGAAATTGAAAGCTTGTCATACTTTATTTTTTTATCGTAGAGCGAGAGAGTGTGGATTTGTTTGCATTGGCTGCGTGTCCCGCTTACACACACAGACACACATTTTTATTTGCAGAGTGTAGATCTGTCCACACTCGCAGGTCAGTGTGTGTCAGATGAGATTCACAACTCATCCTGTAGACAGGGAAGGACTCCTCCTAACTATTCCCACGTGAATTTAGAGCCAGCAGCATCACAACTGTGTGTATGAGTGTGTATACGTGTGTGTGTGTATATGTGTGTGAATGTGTGATTGCTTGCCATGGATCACTAAAGCGGGCAAGTGACATTGTGTTTGCATCAATGCAACTGGTGTTCACAATTACATTATATATATATATTCAGCTGTTGAAAGACTTTAACAGACTTAAATTTTACAACCCATAAGTTTAGAAACTTCAAGTAAAGGCTAATGTATAGTGAGCAAATTACCCCCCTAACATGAAGAAAGCGGGACCTCGTCTCACCCTAAAGGGATTCTAAGCAGCCATTCACTATACATTATCTGGCTTATGACCTGGCAACCAATGAAAGACCAAAAACAGGGAAATAAGGAGTAAAGATTGCCTGATTTTAAAGCAATTTACTGCTTACAGCTTAAATATAGCCTCTTAGACTCTATGGTCTGTAATGCCTTAGTGGCAACAGCCGACTTGTTGGGTGAATTAACATTTATATGAATGGAGTATTTCAATTTATAGTGAAGTGGAAATACGAGCTTCGTTATTTGACATTGATGACAACAAAATGAAGATTACCCTTTAAGGGAAATGTAGACAAGGTGAACTGCATATTTTCTGCTGACATTCTTTTGTCCCCATCTAGAATTCCATCTTTTCAAGTTTTTACTTTCTAAACTCAAATAATGTTGTAACTTGCTATGGTTATAGCCCTTTAAGGTTCAAGTGACTTTGCAATCACCAGGTCTGATGCCATTGCCTGGATTGCAGGACAGGATCTTAATCAGCATTTTCTGAACTGAGATGGGAACTTGTACTTCCTTAGTCAAAAGTTTTGTGTCTTCCAAATAAGTCATCAGTAATATTACAAGTACCCTATATGGTATTCAGCCAACCAATGTAGAATAAAAACTAATAAAAACTAACAGCCTGTCTGAAACAGCATACATAGGAAATAAAGGACTAATCTTTTTTAAGGGGTTTTGCCAATAAGTATCAAGTACCTAACATAGTTGAGCAACAAAACAATTGATCTGTCATGCATCTTGTCCACCTGTTGTCCATTTATACTGTAATTCAGTATACGGTTATACTGTTCTGTGTGTAGAGTATTAGCGTATAAGAGAAATGCAATTAAGAATTAAACTTGGTGTGTAACATGATTGTTCACACTACATTTCAAGGTCATTACAATTAGTAAAGTGTTTTTAAATTGTATACAAATGAATTGAAATGCCAACCAGGAACCACAATAAGGAAAATAGTTTATCAAACTTTAAATTCAACTGTTGGAGTTGCATCTTACTGACCAGAAAAAAAGCCTTAACCTCTTTTTTTTCCCTTCCCTTTCTCGCCTCTCATCTCTCCAGGTAATGCTTCAGAGAATAACATTCCTCTGGGTGAGTGTTTCTGTCAGTCTGTTTGTCTGTTTGTCTAAGTTTGCAAGTGGCTCAGTTGCTGATCTGTATTTCAGAGCCTGCAAGCTGTGCTGTTCCACAATCTGATGAGTCTGTCTCATCTGTAGTTCTTATTGAACATGATGTAGCACATTATTTTGTGGTTATATGTTCTGTGTATGTATAATGAATAATGGAGTGTGGTAACTCATACTATAAGGTATTAACTCTTCCATCACTCAACATAAAGAGTTCAAACTACTCCTATGTGATATGTAAACACTGTCTATAACCATCTTAATAAATAGCATCATCAGATCTGTTATGTTTTATAAACTTACAATGATTGTGGTGGATCATTTGGCTGCTCAGTGCCGCTTGTATAAACTCCAGTTCACCGTTAAATTCAGTATATCTCTGCCGGTGAATGCTTTATATCAAATATAGACTGTTGTGAATGTTCCACTGAGAATCATGTGTGTGTTTGTGTGTGTTTGTGTTTGTGCATTTCCAGGTTTCCAGGACTCCTCTGTGGGGTGTTTTATCCATAAAAGAACCAGGATTGTTGGAGGAGGTCCAGTGGGCATATCTGATGGCAGCTGGATGGTCAGCATACAGAAAGGGTATGGTGGTGCATTCAATATTTTCTGTGTTTTTTCTCCTTCACTGAAGGAGAACGGTTGGTCCCTCCTGACTTGAATTCTTGAGAAATTTGGAGGGGATATTTACTTCATTTTTACTTTCTTCTAGTAAAAGGTTCCTCTGTTGTTTCAGTAGACTTCCCATTGTTCTCAATGGCCCATGCATGGGAAAGTTAAAGATAAATAACTTGCTGGGATTTGTGTTTGCTGATTTGACACTTGCAGCATTAATGCTAAACTAACTGGGCATAAATCCTAATTATCAAAGTGATTAATCCAACTCTCCTTAACAAATGCATTATGGAACAATCCTTAAGTTTTTACACACCAATACTTTTCAATACTGTGTGCTTAAAAATGATACACTCACCCTTTTTCAACATTTGATAAAGAAATCAACTCACTAAATTCCAAAAACTCTACCATTTATAATATATTTTTATTAACTTTTAGTAAATAAGGAGTAGTTGCAACTTCAGAATAACATTCCAATAACATATATAAACTATTAACCTATACTTAACAAGTCATTACCAAGTAAGTTACTAATATCTTTTTCATGATCGATTACTAATTTATAAGCTATAGTTATAAATCATAAACATACAGTTAACAAGTCATTTATAACTCATTAACTAAGTTTATTCATGATATATCAACTATCTATAAGGCATCATTATAAATCTTTAACAAACCGTTAACACACACTTAAGTCATTGTTAACTAATTAATTACTAATCGTTAATTAATTACTAGTTTACTAATAATCTATTAACTTGTTATGATGGATAGTTATTATAAAGTGTTATCCAGATCTCTTACATAAATGGTTTCATTTTCATTGGTATTGAATTCAGGTATCATGGCAACTGTAAAATGGTGTTGGTTGCTTTAAACACAGTTTGTTCTGAATTTACTCAAGAAATAGGCAGATATAAAGATTTACATATGCCTCTTTATAGCAGTATTTAATGTCTCACAAGGTACAATCACAGTGCTTCAGAGCCTTAGCTTCTTTTTTATGGATTACCAATATGTTTTTTTGCTGTCGTTTTTGTCCCTTCAGATCTATGCACTGGTGTGGAGGTTCTTTGATAAGGGAGGAGTGGGTGCTCACTGATAGACAGTGCTTCTCCTCATGGTAACTATATCACTCACTATCTGTTAATATCACCTCATTTCCTTTGCTTGAAACTTTATGTTCTTTGATACCCTCAGTGAATTAAATGTCTTATTTATGTCTTCAGTTGATATGTTTTTCCACTTTATGCAAGATTAAGTCCCTAACTGACTCTAGAATATATAATGCCGGGTCTGCTCAGTCTAAGTTTGCAGAGAGGAATAAAAGTGAAATAGTTTATTAAGTATTTACTCTTCTCTTGTGCCTGTAAAGTGTTCCAGACCTCAGCGAGTATCGAGTGTGGCTTGGAGTCTCAGATATTCAAGAGGGTGCTCCTGACTGGTCTCAGAGGCAGGAAGTCAGCATAGCTCATGTGATATGTGGCCCCGAGGGCTCCAGTTTAGCCCTCATAAGACTGTCCAAGTGAGTACCTGGAACGTAATCTCCCAGATACGCTTATGCATGTTGGTGTGTGTGTACTTTAAATAACATATTAACTTTCCGTGTTCATTCAAATTAACCAGGCCGGCACTTCCAGCAGACAACGTCCATACGATTCAGCTGCCTGTGGCTGGTTGTTCGATACCAGAAGGAACAATATGTAAAATGTACGGCTGGGGAGAAACCAAAGGTACTGATATCAAATATTCTTCATTAAATACAGATGATTTATTTATATCTCCCGGCAGGTTTGGATTATATTGGATTTCTCCTGCAGCAGTCCTGGATTAATCTGTATAATGTTTTCAGAATAATATGAGGTAGAAATGTGATGCATTCTCTTCAAATAACTGTCTACTGCTTATCTAAGCACTGTTTCCAAACCACAGGTCAGGTTGAAAGTTTTAACATATCATGATTTCTGCATGGATCAATTAGCCCCAAACCCTGACACTAAAACATGGCAAAAACATGAGATCCACTGATGGTGACACACTGGTGTATCCCATTCTACTACAAATGTAGATGCTGTAAAGTGGAACCTGTCTCCCTTTCAGGCACTGGGCATGATGACTTATTAAAGGCAGTCAACCTTCCCATCATCAATAATGAGAGATGTCGAGAGATGCACCGAGGCAACCTCCACATCACCAACACCAAGATCTGTGCGGGAGGCATAAGGAACGAGGGAGTGTGTGAGGTAAACTGTGACTTGTTCTTTTCCTCTTCATAGTGAAGTGTCTCAGCATTCACACAAAAGGCAAACTATCTGTTTAAGTGCTTTGAACAAAAAGTCCACATCTTAGATTCACATGGTTTTGTCCTTGCTGGTAAATAAGAACAGAGCTTTAGACCTTTAGAGCAAATAAAAGTCCCCTTTGAATATACTGGAGTATTAGCGCCTTGGTTCAACACTCAAAGCTCAGTTTGATTCACATCTCAAACACATGTTCTTTGAATCCGCGGGCTTAGTATTCAGCATGTAGAAAATACAGCAGCTGGAGACTGTTGCACTACATTTCATCAGCGATCAAAGCCTTGCATTTGTGGTTTCTAGCTTTGCAAGAAAGCTGTCCATGTTCGCAAATAGTGGCGATGCCATCTGTCACAGAGAGAACACTCTCTTTAGATGTGAACACTCAATAATAACCACGCATCAACAAGTAACCAAAAAAAGATGATGCTCATCTTTCCTTTTGCAGAGGGATTATGGAGGCCCTCTGGTGTGTCAGGATGGAGACATCAAGGTCATTGTGGGAGTCAGTGTCCACGGTAGAGGCTGCGCCCGGGCCAACCAGCCGGGCATTTTCATCAACGTGCCCTTCTACACGCAGTGGATCTACAAGGTCTTCAAATATTATCCCAACCCTGAGATCATCTAGAGACTCAAAAAGGAAAAAGACACTCTCCAGTGACTAAACAAACCTTCTGTAAATCTATCAGTGCACTCAGGACCTGGTTTCTGCGTTGTTCAAACTAAGACAGCTCATGGGTTGATATTATTTGAACAAAGGATGTACCCGGTATAAATGATGGATGAGGAAACACTGAGCTGTGAGATTTAACCACATCACAATCAGGTCCAACACTGAGCCTGAGTCTTTCATGAAAACTAAGAAGAGTAAAGGTTGATATTATTCATATCAAACATATAGGGATTGAATTGTTAAAGTAGCAAAAGGTAAAAGAGGGGACATTAAAAGCTGACAGTAATAGGAAAAAAAGGAATATGTCTTTGGTTTAGTTGGGAGCAAACCAAGCAAACAAACATTCAATTTTAACCTTTTTTTTTTTTTACAATCTTCTTTTGGTAGCAAATTCACCCAAGTGGTATGTGTGCATGTGAATACTCTTGATTCCTGGCATTACTTGAACGTTTTTGAACACCAAAGTGCAGTGGTTCAGTAGCTCCCTCTTTAGAGTACATTAATGGGACACTTATAAACTATCCAGTGGGACTTAGAGTGGAGCTCTAAGTATTCTCGAGGGGCTCTGATGAAGTGGTCCTTATTGTAAATAGTATTTTAATGAGTGTATTTGTGACACTCTTAAGCTGATTTGGGTCTTATAGATCTATGACAAGAGACGTGAATGTCATGTTGGGCAGATTGATGATGTACAGTGTATAATCTACATTTCAGCTTTCAGCAGTGGGAACACCAAATTGAAACTGCTTTTTTAGTATTTCAAAACCACTGACTGTATAAAATAAATATAATCTTTGCAGATGGAAGGGATGTTTAGTTAGGGAGGCCTTACAGGATTGGAAAAAAATGCAGGAAATGTAACATTTGAAAACTGAAGATTTCCTTAAGCCCACACTCTAGATTAAGATGGGTGTGTTTGAATGTGTGTGTATGTGTGTGTGTGTGCGTATTTTTTCTGCAGCAGTGTCAGTATGCGAAAAGAAAAAAAAAAAAAGACAACTGTAGAGGGAGTGTGTCTGCGTGTGTTTGGACGTGTGTTGAAGCCAGAGCTGAATGAATTATCCCCTCCCCACACTCAGACCTTGGCAGACCTCCAGTTCCAATCCACTCTGGGTACCAGCGTCACAAAGTCTGTCACTTCAAACTTTGTCGAGGAAAAGAGGAGACGCTCTATGTAACTGCATTGTTTGTAATGGCTGCTTCACTCAAGATGACTGAATATCCATTGAGACCAATTAGCACATCTCTTTTGGTGGTGTAAATGATCAAGATGGCTTCTTACTGGATCTGCATTATGTTTGTTAGAGTGGGAAACCATGAGTGTATGTGTTTATCTGTTTATATGTGAGCACTGAAGTATGCTGCAAGCTGCTATATTCTACAGGTTGTACGGTAATGTCTTACACCTCTGTATCATGTACATTCATTATAACTTTGATGTCATTTTATCCTATATGCTAAATGTTAAACCCAGTTTCTGCGATTATTTTAAACGTTTTACAATGTCCGTCTCTATATTAAATGTTTTTTTTATCTACTAGTCCCTAATTCATTTCATATTTTAATACCTCATTTATCTTTAATGCTTTTAAAGTGTTTTCAATGCAAATGTGAACAGTTTCATCCAGTCCTTCTGCCTGCTGTATAATTAAATCAAGACTGTTATGCTCCCCTACCAGGAGATGGCACCACAGTAGCACATAGACTACAAAATGCCTTGATAATTTTTTCTAATCTCTCTCTCACTCTCTCTCTCTCTGTCTCTCTCTCTCTCACACACACACACACACACACACACAAACTCAACATCCAATATACCAGTCTTACTGCGTTACATGAATGGAGACACACACCTGTAGACATCACGAACTTTAGCCTTGTAGCTGTCCTCCATCAAATACTTCAACAGAATGGCCTCCTGGCCTATTGGTAGTTTGACACTGAGAAATAAATAGAGTGTTAAATGATACGTGGACAGTAAGTTTGTATTCGAGTGTAGGTCTGTGCTTATGACTGTGTGTTGAAGGCTGACTGAAAAAAAAAAGAGGAAGTGTTTAAGTGCAAGAAAAGTGCTTATGAGAGCTGCAGATTAACTGTGATTCTATTGATGCTGTATTAAAAAATTTAGAGAGCAAGCAAAAAAATACACAGGGGTCGACGATTTCTGTTGCCATGCACACACTGTGTGCTGATGCTGACACAACGCACAAAATTGCAATACATGCACACACACACTTATACAGGCATATACAGAGCACTCGCTAAAACAGCTCTACTGTAGGGGCATCAAAGAGAGATGAAGTGTAAGAAGTTTGCTTTCATCTGCAGGTCAGCTGGATGGATAGAAAGACAGGAAGTGTTGACGAAAACAAGAGGATGAAGGCGCGCACACACACGCGCACACACACACACACACACACCAATAAGTGGCTTTTTTTTTATCCTTGTTCAGAGTACTGCAAGATCTATAACATGCTTGAAGCTAATGATGCAGAGATGTTGGCTTGTGTCAGGACTGTTCATGCTTGTGTGACGGGGTTTACGTGTGTGTGTGTGTGTGTGTGTGTGTGTGTGTGTGTGTGTGTGTGTGTGTGTGTGTGTGTGTGTGTGTGTGTGTGTGTGTGTGTGTGTGTGTGTGTGTGTGTGTGTGTGTATGAGGGAGAGAGAAAAATAACAGACTTAAAAAATGCACATTCACTCTGAGATAAGAAGCTCTCTTTTTACTGAGTTGCCTTGCTGAGACTGCCTGGTTTTGAATATGGTGAATATTTGCCATAATTACTAATGAACAAAGTAATAAGTTGAACAAAACCTTTTTTTTTAAACAGTTACTGTCTGATCTTACAGTAGAAGAAACTGAGAGTGAAGAGACACTTTGCAGAGTGACAAAAGAAGAAGTTAGGAGTGACAGAATCTGAATTGCATTTTCTATAGGAGACAAGTACAGCTTGTACCCGAGAACTGCTGTGGTGTACGGGTGTATGAATGGATTCATACTGAGATGGTGTCATGAATAAATGTGGCATTTCCTGATAAATTTCAAGCTAAATCTCCTGCTGGCTATCCATTGAAATTCAAATAAAGTCAGAGGGAACTCTCACATGTCGCCGCAGTTGGCTGCCGATTGCATGCAGAGATCTAAGCACGGCTGGTGGTGTCTCGATGCCTCTGTATGTCCGCTTATGTGTGTGTGTGCGCACGCGATGTACATGTGGGTCTGAGTGAGAAAGACGGCGACTGGTCTGAAGAAAGAGGGAAAATGAGACAGAGAGAGAGACTGATTATTTCTGAGAAAGGCTTTTATAAGCCACAGGACTCCCATTATAGATCATTGACTTTCAGATTTAGTTAAGAATATCTTTCATAATCTAATTGCGTTGTCTTTGTAATGTCATTTAAACTCCTTTTAGGCACTTTTGCCTCCTCTCCGTAGACTCTTTACTTTTAAGGACCTCGCCTCGCTTTCCCTCTGAATGCTTTCAAGTGTCATCTTTATAGTTGGTGCGGGTACAAGGAAGTGTATGTCGATAATACTCAAGCTTTCAGTACTATCCCCCTCGTATATGAGTTTCACTGAGAAACCTGACACCTCACTCTCTTTTGTCTACCGTTAATATAACTCTGACTTTACTGTAAAAAAGTAGACAGTTTAAGAAGAAGGGCAGAAATGTGCAAACATTTTCAACCACTTTCAGAACTTATGAATGTATATTAGAATTTTGCACAACTCAACACATCTCTGCAGACTGTTGTGCTTCCTGCCAGCTTACAAAATGACATTTTATTGTGCTCGCAACAAATTGTAACTCAGAAGAAAGAGGTAGAGCAATCTATATGCAGCATACACACTACGGGCACAATACTCATGAAATTAACTGTCCAAGTCAAACAAAGTGTTCAATAAACTTGTGGAGTGCTAGATATTGAGTGGCTGACTAAAAGTGCCTGACTAACATCACATTGCAGAAACGCTCATGCAAGAGGTGAGGAACCCTGCAGCAGAACTTGAGAGGAAAATAGGCAGCAAATCATCATTAGTTGAATTCGGCGGAAGAAGCTCATTTTGGCTGGGAGGGCGCAGTATTATTTAACTTTTAAGTGCAAGTATTAGTGTCATGAATTGAGTGGATATACATTAACAGTCTGTTCAGGCTCATTTGTGTTTGAGGATTGTTTTTGAGGCTCTTTTCTTTCTTTGAAGGTGCTCTCTTTATTTTCCCTTTAAAAATGAATGAAATGGCTGGACTGTAAATACAAAAAAGCTCAACTAAAGATTCAGTCCTCCAGCCTACAGTTAACTTTAGTTTTAAAGAGATGTTTTAAGAAGCTCAGCTTGATGTCTTGGTTTTCAGAGACACATTGCAATGTTTTGGCTCACTCCCACCTCTCTGTTTAACCTTGTTTCCAGATGCAGCAGAAATGTGTTTGCAGCCAAAAAAAGCTCCCCACTGCTCCAGTACCAAAGAGCAGAATGATAAACTCAGTGTCTGCTGGAAAAATAAGTGGTTCGTTCAACAGCTGAGAAGACAGAAAGTACCCCGAGGAAGTTATGCCAATCAAAATACATATATTGTCACCATTGGGGCTAAATTTGGTTGGTGGCTGTAAACATGACTTTTAGTGCACAACAATATGGCAAAGTTTCTGCTGCTGAACTGACTGTCAACAATCAACTAGTTTCAAAAAGTCATCATCCGATAACGTCGGCCACGTGTTCACTGCTGGCTAGGGATGGGGGGTAAAATTATCGTTCAAGATTTATCGTCAAAAAAATCCTCCAAGATAAGGATTAGTGATTTATATTACGATAAATGCAATAAACTTTCCTTCAAGACTGGGGCTTAGACGTGTGCAATCAGGTATGCCTGACATTGGACAGTGGATCTGCTGCAGTTCACTCTGTGCAATAAGAGTTTTGAATAAACGTTGAAAATGTTGTTACATTTCAGACTTGTTTGATGTCACTAGTTTTCTCCAAAACCTACCACTTAAACTTGTGGTTAAGTCTGTTATTTGAGTATCGTGATTTTTGTTATCGCCCGAATGGCAAAACTTATTGTGATAAATTTTTTAGCCCATATCGCCCATCCCTACTGCTGGCTATGCTGAAGAAGAGTTCTGATGGTGGTTACCGTATTGGAAATGCTAACCCAACCCAGTCCAGTCAGCAAAGCCCCTTATTGTGAAAGTCAGAACCTTGATCTCCTTAAAACTAGTTATGAAAAATCAAACCACAGTTCTAAGAGACGGTGCAAATAGAGGAAAAAGATATTCAAAGCCAAATTGTATTTTTGGATCAGGCTGTTAACATGATTAGTTTTTGCTATAAGGACAGGTTTTTTTTAATTAGTGTGTATGTGCCACACAGTGCTTTTGCGACCAACCTCAAGAGGACACTTAAGGAACTGCAGTTTTTAGCACTACTCTACTGGCTTCCTTCCTTTGTTGTCATCCTAATTATTTAATGCCAAAATTACTATTCTGTCAAACAAAATATTACTATTTTCATTATAGTATGCCCAAAATGCCGGTCATGAGTTGTATCTAAACTGTAGCATAGCCACCTGAAGAAACAACTATTATAACATTATTACAATAACCTCAGTTGACTTTAAAATATTACAAGAATAGGCACAGACTGATGTCCTAAAACAGCCACTGTAGACAGTTAAATCTTTTAGATTTGCTAACCACGTTTCAGTTTCTGGTAAAGTTTTCATGATATTTCACCAAAACTGTTGTTTCTGCTGCATGAATAGGACCTTTCCCTCCCATGGCTGAACACCTTCAGTCAGCCTACAGTGGACACTTAAATAGTTAGGATTAAATGAACAGTGTGGGAATAAATAAATGTAGAATATCTTTACTGTGGACTTAAGACATGATATTTTATCCCATTGTACAGTAAAGGTTACTGAGGTGAATCAAAGACAAGGAGAATAATGCAAATAAGAGACAAGTAGGACAAGCATGCGTAAATTATGACTGAAGAGTTAAAATAAAACCAATACTCAGTTTAGCAAAACTGGACATAATCAGGCACATCAAGTTTCCATCATGTTCTCGGCTTATGTGTGATTCAGTTTGCTTTCCAATCATACCACTAGATTCAACCCTGCTTGCCAAGTTTTGTTTTAAATTCATTTGGGAATCCAATTTTTTGTTTTTACCACAGCTCAACACTCTGTCCTAGTTTTGATAGATCTTGTAAGAATATCATTTTTTTTTAATTTAGGGAACCTGGCAGAAAAAAATAAAATGCTCTTTGCTCAGCAACTGCTTTCCAAACACCCTGCAGAAGAGTGCTTAATCCCAAACAGTTCAAACGAAGTGTCTCATGGGCCAACAAAGTGACATTTTAATCATAGTGGGTAGCAACCTGGTATAAACCTACAGTAAGACTTTACTTTCCCCAACATATCTGTTTTAAAAGAGAAATGTTTCCACTGCTGAATGTGAGGAATAAAAAGTTCTATTTTGGGCAGCTTTTTTCACCACTGCACACAGAAATTTGGTTGTCAAACACAGATAATTAAGTCTCATAAAATCTTGCCTACGGTTCAATCTGTGTATTTTTTCGTGACATCTCGAGGTCTGGATCAATAAGTGCAGTAAATCAGCCACAGTGGCAGTGACTCTGTTGATATTAATCATTAGTTATTCAATTAAGGCCCGGGGAGGCAGCATGATGAACTG